CCCCCTTCCATGAACAATGTACTGAACCGATATTGATCAAAAAGAAGGGCCACGTACACCTCCACTGAAAAGCCAAACATCAAATGTGAACCAGTATTATTAGTAGGTTGGTGCTGCTCCTACCGACATCTGAGAAAAAAACATCTAGAGACCCAGGTAGGAGGGCCCCCAACTTCACCCTCTTCTTTGAGAGTGGAGGAATTCACTCTAACACTCTGAAGGAAAAGCCTCTGTCCACCACCCCAGTGGCTGGAAACCAAGTGTGATAAGAACTCCCTAGCTCTAGTAGTAGAATCTGGGGGGTAATGTGCACTGGGGAGCCCTGAGGAACAGTGTAATAGATGAACTGAGTTCCCCAAATTTTTAGAAGCAAACTGACCCCAATTTATTCAATCCAATGATCGGCAGGGATGAGCAGAATCCCCTTTAGCTTTACTCATGATAGTCCATGAGTGACAGTCCAGCATAGTATAGTAATACTACCTGGTGAGCTGTTATGTGGTCTTATGGAACACCTCATTTCTACAGAGCCTGTTGCAACCGGTAGTAATTATAGTGAAACAGTGGTTGCTAATGTGGAATTGGTTTGATAAAATCACACCTGTCTGGGCAACATTTGCCACAGAGTGGGATCCTGTGAAAACAAGGTAAGGGACCCTGAAAGGTAGAAATAAATATATTCACCACTCTGGATAATCTAGCAGAAATGGTTAAGATAGCTATAGGGGGTAGGCAAAAACCCTCAAATGAAGAGATTGCCAGATCAGGCAAATAATGTGAGATAAAGGTATTGGGGGAGGTCCACATACCAGCCTGCACAATGACCTTCAGTGGGCAATTTGAACAAGCTGCTAAGGACATAGAGAAGAGAAATCTGATTAGATATGACTCACAGACGATAGCATTGTCTAGTATCTCTAAAGCTAAAGAAGCAGGCAACAAAACCTTCAAGACCCTCACTGCACTGAACATGACCAAGATCGAAATCTGATGGGACAAATAGAGAAAGAATGAGCAGATGAATCAGAGAAAAGGACTGAACCCATTTCCCTTCTGACAGTGTCGGGTAAGAATAACTAGTCTAAGGACATAGAGAGAGAATGTGAAAGTGGTCTGTGGACAAACAGAGCAAATCACACTGACTGTAGATGTCCATAGGTCAGCAGCCATGAAAAATAAATCTGCAGGTAAAGGGGATACATGTAATGTAAGAGTCAGGTCACAAACAGGTGTAGACAAAGAACACAACCTTAATCTACCTGGTAGGTAACTGGAATGTTCATTTGGGACCAATTACACCAAACGATGTGAGGAATCTGGAGAGTACTGGAGACTCAAAAATATGTAGTCGCGATAATCGAATGATAGTTGATAAAGCCACCATAAACAATGGCGATAGTGGAAGATTCAAAAAAACTTCTGTCAGAGTGCCAAGTCAATTGACATCACTGATTGAAAAGGGTTCAACCCCCTCTCAATACAACATTGCCAATAAGCATGTCATTACCATTGATAAAAGTGTCTTTTGGACTAAGCACAAACCGAGACAGATACATGTCAACCTTAGAATTAAACCTTTATGCTGTATGAAAGACAGCATAACCTCTCATGCCAGAAGCAGCCAATCTGATGCTATCAACAGGATCTAACAATGGGTTGAAACAAATCATATTTCATACCCTGAGTAACATATGAAGTGGAGAGAAGGTTTAGAATGGTAATCCTGACCTGTTCAGACAGAAAGCAGCTATTGCCAAAGCCCAAAGATGAAGTACTAGACATTAAATTGCCAGTAGTTGGGTGATCCAATAAGATGCCAACCCATCAATTAAAGTAGCAAATGAGAGCTAGCAATGCAATATCTATTCTGTTGGAAAAATCTGTTTTTGGATTGAGACAATAGACCTGCTACCATAGGTATCACCCTTGGAACATGGAAAGCTATAAGAGTGGTAAGATAGGACAAGTCCCGAGAAAGGAGGTCCAAAATTCGAAAATAAGGAACCCTTGACCACATGCTTCTTTGATAAGAAACATAAAACACCATCACAGAATAGTCAGAATAGAGAGTGAAGCCTGACAATTTACCCCTTAAGATGTCCAGACCATAAGGCCTTGCCTGTTGAAGAGCAAGAAGGACAAAAATATTGTGTAGGGAATCCTCGTTGTCCATGCATAGACTCTGGAATTCCTGACTGTTGGTATATGCACCCCATCCCTGAAGCAAGGCATTTGTGAAGAAAAAGGTACTCTAGATAAGGTGGCAGTAGAGGAACCCAAATCATAGTAGTGTCCCAACTGAACAACCACTTGAGATCGAAGAATTATCCTGACTAAGGGAACTAGGGAATCCAGTAAACAGATGTGTATGATCCTTGATTACTTACAGACCAATAAAAGGATTGCTTGTGTTCTTGTCCCAAAGGCACAAAGGATTCGAATAATGCCCACATTCCCAGGAGAAAAAGAACCATCCATGCAATGGGAGAAGGAGAGGTGAATAAGAGTGTGGCATCCTATTCTATAACACTGAGCAGGATGGGAGACAGCTGAGCCCGACTGATAAAAAATATCCAGATTGATAATATATTGAATTGGAGCAACAATATATGTCACAGACCTGAAAGGGAAGACTGCCTGGGTTGTATCTGACAGTAAAATCAGGATATGATAGTCTAACAATTGATGGGATGATGCCAGCAGTAACCATTCATCTGTGGAATGGTGTGTGCTCAGTACGATGGAATGGAGAGGATGAGGAAAAAAAAAAAACTCGTACAATACGGCAGAACCCATGTGAAGCCTATGCAAGTCTACTGCTAAGGCAAAGTGCAGATAGGAGCCGACTACAACCAAGTTGGACATCTACTATCACAGTAAAAAACACACAGATTGAGGATGAGTAACTTGTGAACCTTAAAGAAGCTAAGCATTGATATAGACAAGGAAGACTGATGACTGGACACCAATCTCCTGTCAGCATAAGCCCAACAACTGACAGGAATAAAACTCTGAAGAACTAGCCTGACTCTCACTACCCCCAGACTAACCAGATTCAGATAACCCTAGAACTAAGATCCAAATCCCGATGAACTGCGGGAGAAAGAAACCCTATAGGTTAAGTGGATAATAGTGAGGAAGATGTGAACTGAATGACCAATTGTGACCCAAGGACCTGCAGAGCTCCTGGAACAATGGTTAAGATTACCACACATCCAGAAATACTTGGAACCGAGCCTCCACAGCCCCTGAAGGTAGACAATAATCACTGATGCTGCTAGCAATCCAACTAAGCAGTGAAAACCTTGGATATACACAAAATCTATTCTGAGTACCAATGTACCAAGGAGCTGATGTCAGGATTGATGAATAGGGTGGAACTATGACCCCTGTAGGGGCCGAGGAAATTCGAGACTCCAACAACAACAACCAGAAGGAATGTAGAAGCCGAAAATGAAACCAACATGCATGTGAACAATGGATCCAACTCGTCATCAATGAAGCTGGTGATTCTAAGAGTCTTGTAACAAAGGGAAGTGAAAAGAAACAAAATGTTGAATTTGAGTTGTAAGTCCATAGACTTACTCTGTCCCATTAGGGGACATAGACCTACATAGTTGAACTAAAACTCTGCCTTAGAACCCCAAAATAGAGGAGCAGATTTTATTTGATAGTCAGAAAAATGCCTCCATCTAGTGGTGGTAGGCTAAATCACAAAGTTTCAACAACATGTAGGATAAAGCCTAAATGTCCCTTCATGTAACTAAGAAGTAAACCTTCCAGTATGAACCACAATATCCATGTATGGAGAGAAAACTAAAAATTTGCTTCCAGACCTTTCAACCATCAAGTTGCAGACTCAAAAGCAACCAGGAAAAAGCCCAAAACATCACACACTCAAAGAACCAACAAAAGAAAAACAAATCAAAGGCAATTTGTCCCAAAATGACCTCCTTTTCATTTTTCATAGGTCATTTAAAGACTGCGTTGAAGACCATTGATTTTGTTAGAGCAAAGCAACTTCAGGCCAGTTCTCGCATCCACCCTGGTCCCCAGTGTTGCAAATCTGTAAACTTACCACAGTCCCACAGGGGGCTGAAAATCCAACAGACTAAAAGAAAGCACAGGAAAAAGCAAATCTAGTCTTTTCAAAATGTTGAGGATCACCATCAATTGCAGCCTCAGAACCTCCTGGAGGACCATCACAGATCAAAATGTATGTCTCCATCTCACTAAGAATAAGATAACTGACAGCCCCCAATTGTTGTGCAATGCTAAATATCAGAGGTGGGAGAGGAAAGACCCAATCTGCCTCCATGCCAGAAATAATAATCCAGGAATGCATACTGTAATTAACTTGCCAATCAGTAGAAGAAAAAAAATATTTTTTTTTTAACTATTAATATTATGATTATTACAAAATTCAACTAGATAACACGATAATATTCAAAGTATCTCCAAACAGTCATAATAATGGGAAACCCGTTAGTGACGCTATGTTGAGAAAAAGTGATAAAATTATCTGAATGATGTGCTTTTATACAATACCAGGATAGATAGGTGGAGAGTATCACAAAATAAATATCGCCAACAGCAATTTAGTGGGGTATAAAAGATTGGAGCAAACGAGAAAAATCAGATCAATGCTTAGATGGGCAAAGAAGAAATCCTGGCGGTCGAGTAATAGTTATAGGTCTCAGCGGAGGTAAGTATATTTTGGAATGAAGGTTGTTACAAAAATAATCAAAACCAAAAACAATATAAGCACAAAAGCTGCCTGTCAAGAGAATTATACTGATGATCTATAACTGATCACTTAGATGCTCGTGTTTTCAAAAATCCAATTCTCAATGCAAACTCCAGTCATGATAAACATATGATCAGATAACTGGTTTTTCTAACATGCATCCAACTACAACCACTTAGTCACTATTTTCCAATTTATTTCATATAAGCTATACATGTTATCTATACAGAAAGATAATAAAACAGACACTTACTATGAGTTTTCAGTAATGTACCAAGGCCTGATCCCAAACTATCTCCAGTAACAGTAAGACGCCTATGCACCATTTCCTTGTCTCCCTGTACAGTATCAAAATTAAATGTTGTGTGTTTTAGATTACTTATTTCCTAAACAATCTTGAGGGTTGTTTATTTTTAAACAACACTCAAATTCCAAATTTCCAATAGATGCAGCCTGTAATTGCAATTCTAAATACACTATGTTATAGTCTCATTTGATACAAGAATAAGTTATGTTACTTGTTAGTTTCTGACATCACTATTTTTAACTAAATAACACTGATGACTGAACCTTTACGTATTACCAATGTTCTGTCATATTTTTATAATGCCTAACTTTTCCTAACACTCACACCTTGCATTAAATATTACATTAATCAAACTGCACACTTCACTATATTTTTACAGAGCTACATTCAAAATGTAATTAAATTACTTTATTTTTTAATATTAGGTAAATACACAATACTCTGTAATCTAAAAGTTAAATTCACAGTAACAGAACATCAACAAATCTTTATAAATACAAGTGTACTGAAAAGGACATGTGATTGTGTTGAAACTTGTATCCATAAACATTTGATGGTGTTTCTTCATGGTGGATTTAAACTAGATTTTAGTTTACTTTGTTATTATTTGGCATTAGAATGTAGCTTATAATTCAAATTTTTATATTATCTAAATTTCTTAATTTCAAAAGAAAATACTTAAAATTTGTATCTGCACTTCTGAGTCACATGACACAATGACTTTTCAGTTATGGATTTTTTCTCTTTCCTTATAAGGGCTTCAGATTGTTTAACCATTTAAAAATACATATTATAGATATTGACAAACCAGAATATAAAATTTCAACCTCTTCTCGATTTACTGAGTTATCACTATCTTTGTTCAACCCACAACAAGCCACTCCAATATCCTATCTTTTAAGAAATGTCTACAATTCTCTTAAATTTCTATTGGATATGCATATGACCAATGAAAACAGCATATTCTAAACTACATAAATTAGATTATTGTTTTGTTAACCTTAACACTTTATGAGGAGAGCTTGATGTGTTTAGACTAATGATATTTCTTTGAGTGGTAATGGAATTAACTTATTTACAAGTTAGTTAGAAAATCTGATAAATTACAGTAATTAAAACCTCAAGGCTAAAATGCTAAAGTTTTTGGTTTTTATGTTATTTTTTACTTGTTATATTGTTTTAAATAAGTGACTAAGCCGTAAAAGTTAAAAACCTATTAGATAAGATAACAAAACTTAAATGGAAAAAAAATTAAATAAAAAATTATCCTTGAAGAATGAATACGGGCTGCCAATGCCCATTGTGCGAGATATTTAACTCAATAGTTTATTTACCCTATGCTCTTACCAGACAATTTTTTTGGTTTATTAAGCTAGTAAGATGTAGTTCAAAGAGCAACATAATAAAATTAAATGAAAGTGGATATGAAGCTGATAGGAGCCTGAGGCTATATAGGATTAATTGTCTGTTACAATTTGCCATTATTTAAAAAAAACAAAATGTTTTTTTGATTTTATCTCATATTTTTCAACTTTTGCTACAGACAATTTCACTACAGTTAGTGTAAGGGAAGAGAAAATAAGAGAAGAAGAATAAAGTTTTGATATTCACTAGGAGGTTCTAAGTGAAACAAGAAAAATGTAAAAAGATGTATTTTTATTTTTAGCATGAAAGACATTTCACTCAGAATTACTCAGTAAATGCTTTGTAAATTAAAAACCAAATCTCAGGAAAAAATACTTTATTAAAAAATATGATTTTTCTTTGTATACAATAGCATTTATTAAAAGCTTGTCAAATTTTGAAAAATCAATTTAGAATTGAAGTGTGTGTGTGGTTTCACATTACGTGGTGCTTACAAATTGACCATGCCTGTTTCCATTGGGGTGAATCAGTTAACCCTTTTCATAAAGCATCAGTCAATTGCACTTATCACAACATTTTAGTTACATTCCAAATTTAATCACACAACCTTATTCTCAATGTATGTGAATAAACTTGGCATCAAAATGTAGTTTACAATTAATTTTTAATTTATCGAAGTTTTAATTTCTTTACCTCAAAAGGAAATGTTTAGAAAATTCTCAATCTATATTTGTGTTGTTACATGACAGGTGCACTCTCAATTCTCCTCCCTTTTAGTTTGTATAACTTAAATAATATAACTTTTACATTGTCCAGCTAACATAAACACAAGCTATAAATAATGACAAAGTCAATCATACAGTTTCAACATCCTAGTTCTTTTCAAACCCATGACAGAAGCCTTGAACATCTGTTCTTAACTTTCAAGGTAGTTTTCAATACCACACTTTTATTTGATGTACATGTTTATAACCAATAGAAATAGTTTTTTCTATTTGATGCTTGCAACCATCCTTTTGCATTTAAAGGCAAGAAATGTTTGTCAGGAGGAAGTAATTGATGTGTGTGTAAGTGAAGTTGTTGCTCTTAGCAGCAACAGATTTTTTTTTAAATCTTATTTAGAGCTTAGTTTGAAAGCCAGTTAAATAATAGTACTTTTGAGACATTCTAATGACAGATATATTTTTTGTGTTCTAAAACACATATCTTAAAGACATATGAATTTTTATTTGGACAATGAAATTAGAGGAAAAAATTAGGTCTGTTTATCAATGCATTCAAGTAGACATATTTCACACTATGCAGTATGTCAGTGTAAGAAATTCTGCTAATGTACTCCTGCTCTGATGTATTACCTTTCTTGGATTAATAAATAACTTGCATAGTACAAGCCAGACAATAAAATCATAAAATTAAAATGTTATAAGGTTAACATCTGAAATTAAAAATATTATTAACTGAAGATGTGGCAACAAATGATGAATTTAAAGAAAAAAATAAAGGTATTTTTCACTTTATTTCACAATTTCCAACATTTCATTTCAAATATACATTGATGGGTTAAGGTAGAGAAAAATAACAGATAAAATATAAAATTTTACCAGCAAAAACTTTTGATTTTCATTTTGGAGGTTCTAGAGGCTATACAAATTAAATACGAAAAAATATGAAAGATAATTACATTTTTGACAGGAAAATCATCTTGGGAGTCAGATTAACTCAGTAAATGCTGCAAAAATTCACAGACAAATCTTTAATACAAATAGTTTAATATAATTCTGACTTTTTGTATACAAAAGAATTGTAATTTGTACTAAAAGATTACCAAACTTCATGAAGGTACCACTAAGTAAATTTAGAGTTCTAGTGTATATAACTGCAATATTTTTTGGGCTAGAGTAAATGGGCTGAGCCAAGCACAAAGGGTTAATGACATCTTAACTTTTTAACAATCACATAACAAGTATTATTAACATTATTAATCAGCAACTATTTACTGCCATGTAAGTTAAATTCCTAGAAACAGTATATTGTTAACATTTCTAATGACATACAAAATATAATTTTTATCGTTCTTTGAAAAAAATCATTACCAACCTCTTAGTAATATCATAAGATGACAGCTCAGAGGTAGTTCCCCCCCCCCCTATCAAGAAAGTTGTCCACTTTCACTCCACAAAAACTATTTTAATTCCTTGTAGCTATTGAAATAGTTTTTGCTTATACTGTACTTCTAATTGAAAAAAAACATGTTTCTTTTATACTCAAAACACATTTAAAAATAATATAGACTCATATCAATGTTTCATTCTCTTATCTGAACTAGATCTGAAATGTATGTTTTTGGTAAAAATTAATCCCACATTGAAATACAAAGAGACAGTTAAAAATAGACAAGTCAGTAACTGCTCTGAAGCACCAACTACTCCAGAATGCCACTGTTTCTTTTACAAATGTGCAAGGAGGCTCTAGTCAGTTGGTACAGAAGCAGTGGTTTCTGCTTGCTGTCCTTGGGAGACTCAATCTTATATTATTAACCCTTTCACAATTGGCAGGTCAAAGTGCACGTCACAACTCTTACATCCAAAAAGTAATTAAACTACTTTACTCTCGATGTATATGAATAAACGTGGCATCACAATATAACTAATAAATCAAATTTTAATATTATAGAAGTTAGATTCTTAATTTTATAAGGAAATATTTAAAAAAATTCCTCAATTTCTCCTAGTATGAGAATTGTGATATTTGGTCTCTAGGTCTTCCCTTTTCTCTAATTCATTCACCATCCTTCCAAGTACAAAATTTAAAGTAAATTATGATACAGATATTACTCAGGCAAAGCATAATTTTATGGCCTTCAATTTTATTTGTTTAGAGAGCTATAAACTAGAAAATCAGACCCAAATATCATGCCAACCTGTCACATCCTCTCTTTTACAAATTGCCAATAGTTCTCTGGAATTTTATACCATATTATTTATAACCAAAAGAAAGCCAACATTGTAAATATATCAAATGGCATATTACATTATGTTGTTTTCTGCAAAAGGCCACCGTTTCGCCACTTAGTTTCAATTAATTTTTACAGGAATCATGTTAATGAGCTTAGTTGAACTTTTAAAGGCTCTTAATGCATAGTTAGAATACCAGAAAAATTATAATAGTTATAGGACATTGTTTGCTTTTTGTATGTTATTATTCTGTGTTCTTAGGGTGCAATATTTAATTAAATAAAAATTAATTTAGTGTAGTAGTACCATTAGTATAAAAAAAGTAGGCTTAAGTTTCATCGACAGTCAAGAGCAAAAAATTACCCAAGTACTATATTTCTTGTTTTTCATGGGAATTATTCATTATTATAAAAGTAACTAAAATATAAAAATTAGAAATTTATAAGGTTAGATTAGATAACATAATGAAAAATAGTAATAATAAAAACTGTTCACGAGGTAAGCTCGTACATTACATAAGTCAATACAATAACGTGAGTTGCACATTTGTCACGTGATTTACAACTTTTGTGGTAGGATTATTAATTGGACAGGGTTCAACGGTCAATAAAAAAATAAAGCATACTGTTACAAGCTTTAAGCTATTTAGGATAAACATTTGTGGTTTCCTGTTATAACTTGCAGTCATTCTAGAAAGAAAACAGGGTAATTTACATTTATTTCCTAATTTTTTTATGGTGGTCAAATCTACTGACACCTTATAGAGTTAAGCTAGAGAAAATAATAGGTAAAATAAAGTTTTTCTGTAAAAAAAAAAAATGTGATATTTATTTAGGAGGTTTTAGAGATCATGAATAGGTGAAAAGTTTGAGATGAAAAAAGTGTTTTTAATATTAACATGAAAATCACTTTGCACTAAGAGCAGTCAACACTCTGACTCCAATTTTTAGTAAAAATATTTAATTAACAATTCTGACACCAATTTTTAGTAAAAATATTTAATTAAAAATTCTGATTTTTTTGTCTATAAAAGACTTGTAATGTTTACCAAAAGATTATCAAATTTTGTGAAGATACACTAAGTACTTATATAACTCATGTACACTTTTATGGTTACATTGTGGTAACAAGGTTGTGTAAAATACATGAGCCCATTGTGACAGAGTTAAAAATAATAAATGTGTTGGTCTTTAAGATTTAGTATAAGTACAAAAAAGTAGACACTTTGAACATCTAGAAAAGGCATACAAACAGTTTTTCAGTATGTGTGGTGCAAAAGAGGTTATAAAGTTGTTTCATTAAGAATATATTTTAATTCTAGCTATTACTCTGAAAGACAAATTATTTTCAATTGTTTTCTTAATGTTTTCTTTAATACCAACTGTATCAACCATACCACCCTGTAGGTTAAATTATAAATAAATATATATAGATAGATAGATAGATAGATTTATGATGAATTCCAAAGAATGGATTTAGATTGGAGAATAAAAAGATGGAAAAATACTAGTGGTGAAATAAAATAGTAAAACTAGAGAAGTTGTTAAAAGAAATTGTGTGTGTGTGTGTGTGTGTGTGTGTGTGTTAGAAAAGCATGATTTTTACAGCATTATTATTTTTTATATTCCTAACCAATGTTGTTTAGATTTAGAAAATATATACAATTTTATCAGCAAATAATACTATAGTACTAAAGTAGGATATGATACAAACTAACAAGGCCACATTTAGTTTGTTT